AGAAACAGACGAAATCGACCTTAAAAATGACTTTAAGAAGATGAAAGAGGCCTTTAAAGAGGACATGAAAAACTCCCTTAAATCAAAGAAAAGACAGTCAAAAAATTGGAAGAAATCAATAAAGAATTTGAGGAAAAAACAAACAAAAATTGGAAGAAATCAATATACCCCTTAAAAAAAGCCAAGAAAAAGCAATTAAACAGGTGAAGGAAACAGTCAAAGATTTGAAAACTGAGATAGAGACAATAAAGACGACACAAACTGAGGGAATGCTGGAAATGGAAAATCTGAGTAAATGAAGAGGAACTACAGATGCAAGTATAACCAACAGAATACAAGAGATGGAAGAGAGACTCTCTGGCATTGAAGATATGAGAGAGGAAATAGATTCATCAGTCAAAGAAAACACTAAAGCCAAAAAAGTCAGAGCACAAAACATCCAGGAAATTTGGGACACCATGAAAAGACCAAACATTAGAATAATAGGCATAGAAGAAGGAGAAGAATACCAATTGAAAAGTACAGAACATATATTCAACAAAATCATAGAAGAAAACTTTCCCAACCTAAAGAAGGAAATGCCTATGAAGATACAAGAAGCTTAAAGAACACCAAATAGACTGGATGCAAAAAATAAAGTCCCCTCGCCACATAATAAACCACTAAACATACAGAACAAAGAAAAATATTAAGAGCTGCAAAGGAAAAAGGCCAGATAAATAAAGGCAGACCCATCAGAATAACACCTGATTTCTCAATGGAGAGTCTGAAGGTCCTGGACAGACATTATGCAGACACTAAGAGACCATGGATGCCAACCCAGACTATTATAACAAGCAAAACTCTCAGTCGCCATAGACGGAGTAAACAAAATATTCCATGATAAAACCAGATTTAAACAATACCCACCCACAAATCCAGCCCTACAGAAAGCTCTAGAAGGAAAAATCCAACCTAAGGAACTTAGATGTACCCATGAAACCACAGGCAATAGATAGTCCCACACCAACAAATACCAAAGAAGGGAAAAACACAACACTACCAACAAAAAAATAATAGGAATTAACAATCACTGGTCATTAATATCCATTAATATCAATGGTCTCAATTTGCCTATAAAAAGACACAGGCTGACAGAATGGATACAAAAACAGGGTGCATCCTTGTGCTGCATAAAAGAAACACACCTCAACTTTAAGGACAGACACTACCTCAGAGAAAAAAGGCTGGGAAAAGACTATCCAATCAAATGAATTTAAGAAGCAAGATGGTGTAGTTACCCTAAAATCTAATAAAATATACTTCAAACTAAAATCAATCAAAAGAGATCAGGAAGGACATTAGATACTTATCACATGGAAAACCCACCAAGATGAAGTCTGAATTCTGAACATTTGTGCCCCAAGTACAAGGGCACCCACATATGTAAAAGAAACATTACTAAAGCTTAAATCACACATCAATCCCCACACACTAGTAGTGGGAGATTTCAGCACCCCACTCTCACCACTGGACAGGTCTGCCAGACAGAAACTTAAGAGAGAAATAAGGTATCTAACAGACGTTATGACTCAAATGGTCTTAATAGATACCCACAGAACATTCTACCCTAACACAAAAGAATACACCTTCTTCTCAGCACCCCATGGAACCTTCTCTAAATTGACAACGTGCTCGGTCAGAAAGCAAATCTCAACAGATACACAAAAATTGGAATAACCCCAAGGTACTGGACTAGGCCCTCTGGATAGGAGAGACAGTTGTTTAGCTTGAACTTTTTAGTGGGGGCGGCAGGCAGGCAGTGGGATCAGGACCCATCCCTGGTGCATGAACTGGCTTTTTGGAGCCCAGTACCTTTGGTGGGTCACTGCGCAGCCCTGGTGCAGGGAAGAGGGGCTTGGACCTGCCTCAACTGAATGTACCAGGCTCTGCTGATGCCCCATGGGAGGGAGACCTTGCCTTGGAAGAAGTGGGAATGGGGGGTGGGTTTGGGGGGAAGGCTGGGGGACAGGAGCAGGGAGGACAGGGGAATCTGTGGTTGGTATGTAAAATGAATAGAAAATTTCTTAATAATATATAAAAAAGAAAAAAGCTTTTTAAAAAATGTCTCCCAGCCAAAGAAAGCCGAGAGCCAGGCAGTTTGCATGCAAAATTGTAGTAGAATTTCAAAGAAGAGCTAATAACAATACTTCTCAAATTATTCCACAAAATACAAACAAAAGGAACACTGACAATTTTATTTATTTATTTATTTATTCATTTATTCATTTTTTTTATTCATTTATTTTTTTATTTATTTGTTTTTTGAGACAGGGTTTCTCTGTGTAGCTTTGGTTCCTGTCCTGGAACTCGCTGTTGCATACCAGGCTGACCTCAAACTCACAGAGATCTGCCTGGTCTGCCTCCTGAGTGTTGGGATTAAAGGCGTCCACCATGATCAAGAAGGCTTCACCCTAGAGATACAGGGATGGTTCTACATATGAAAATCTGATAGAGCAACTAAAGGAGATCAAATGTATACAAATAGTAACAGGAAAAGACAAAAGTATCACTATTTGCAGATGATATGATAGTATACACAAGCAACCCAAAAAATTCTATCAAGGAACTCCTACAGCTGCTAAACACCTTCAGTGAAGTGGCTGGATATAAGATTAACTCAAAACAATCGGTAGCCCTGCTGTATACAAACAATAAATGAAATGGGCTGAGAAAGAAATCAGGAAAACAACACCCTGCACAGTAGCCACAGATAATATAAAGTAACTTAGGGTAACTAACAAAGCAAATGAAAGACCTGTATGACAAGAACTTCTTTGAAGAAAGAAATTGGAGAAGATATCAGCAAATGGAAAGATCTCTCATGCTCACCTATGGATGGGATTAACATAGTAAAAACGGCCACCCTACCAAAAGCAATCTACAGATTAAAATAATCCTCATCAAAATTCGAATTCTTTACAGACCTTGAAAGAACAATATTTAACTTCATATGAAAAAATAAAAAACCCAGCTAACACAATCCTGTACAATAAAAGAACTTCCAGAAGCATCACCATCCCTGATGTCAAGATGTACTACAGAGATGTAGTAATCAAAACTGTTTGGTATTGGCATAAAAGCAGGCAGATTAACCAATAGAATTGAATCAAAGACCCTCAGGTAAATCCAGACACATATCGACATTTGATTTTTTTATAAAGAAGCCAGAAATATACAATGGAAAAAAGAATGTGCCTTCAACAAATCATCCTGATCTAACTGGATGTCAGCATGTAAAGAATTCAAATAGATCCTTATCTATCACCATGCACAAAATTCAAGTTCAAGTGGATCAAAGATCTCAACATAAAGCACTGAACCTGATAGAGAAAGTGGGGAATAGCCTTGAATGCATCGGTACAGGAGACCACTTCCTGAACAGAACACCAGTAGCATATTCACTTAGATAAATAAATGGAATCCCACATCTAACAGAGGACTAACATCTAAAATACATAAGGAACTTAAGAAACTAGACATCAACAAACTAAACTATTCAATTAAAAAATGAGGTACTGATCTAAACAAGTTAGCAACAGAGGAAACATAAATGGCTGAGAAACACTTAAAGAAATGCCCAACATCCTTAGCCATCAGGGAAATGCATACCAAAATGACACTGAGATACCATCTTACACGTGTCAGAATGGCTAAGATCAAAAATGTAAGTGACAGCTCATGCTGGCAAGGATGTGGAGCAAGAGAACCACCACTCCATTGCTAGTGGGAGTGCAAACGTGTTCATCTGCTTTGGAAATCGATATAGTGGTTTCTCAGAAAATTGGGAATCAGTCTACCTCAAGACCCAGTTACACCTTCTTGAGCATATACCCAAAGGATGCTACATCATACCACAGGGACACATGCTCAACCATGTTCATAGCAGCATTATTTGTAATAACCAGAATCTGGAAACAACCTAGAATGCCCCTTCAACTCAAATGAAGATAAAGAAAATGTGGTACATTTACACAATGGAGTATTACTTAGCTATTAAAAAAATAACATCATGAAATTTGCAGGCAAATAAATCGAACTTGAAAAAAAATCATCCTGAGTGAGGTAACCCAGACCCAAAAAGACAAACATGATACGTATTCACTTATAAATGGATATTAGCTGTAAAGCAAAGGATAACCATGCTACAACCCACAGACCCAGAGAAGCTAAGAAACGAGGGTTCAAGTAGGAATGCATGGATCTCCCTAGGAAGAAAATCTATAACAGATATTGCTGATGAACAGGGGGTAGGTGGGGTTGGGAACAGAAGATACCAACTGGAGGTGGGAGAGTAAATACTGGGAGAAACTAAAGAAAATGGATGGCATTTTGGGGGTGAGGTGGAAACCCAGTCCAACAAAAACTCTGGAATCCATGAGAGTAACCCTAGCAAAGACTCCTAGTAGTGGGGGACACAGCCTGAACCAGCAATCTTCTGTAACCAGGCAAGGCCTCAAACAAAGGGAATGGGACATCAGCCCAGCTGCAGAACCTTTGACCTGCAGTCTGTCCTGCCTGCAGTGTTCTGTGATCAGAGCCTAGCAGAAGCATCATCAAAGAGATGATAGGGACTTCATCCAACAACTGATGGGAGCAGATGCAGAGTCCCACAACCAAACATTAGGCAGACCTCCAAGAGTCCTGTGGAGGCGGAGGAGGACGGATCAGAGGAACCAGAGGCATAGGGACACCAAGAGAATATGGCCCACAGAATCAATTGGCTGGGACTCATGGGGGTCTGAAGGGGTCTGACCTAGGTCCTCTGCATATATGCTATGGCTGAGTAGCTTGGTATTCTTGTGGGACTCCTTACAGTGTGTGTGGGGGTTGTCTCTGACTCTTTTGCCTACTTATGGGACCCTTTTCCTTCTACTGGGTTGCCCCGTCTAGTCTTTATGTAATGGTGTGTACCTGGTCTTATTGTAGCATATTATACCATGTTTGGTTATGTCCCTAAGTGTACGAGCCAGAGGCGCAGGAAGTCAGCTGTGAGACTGTGCCTTCTATATATGACTGGGAAGCTGCACCCATGGACTCTCAACAATGTGATCACCTAAACAAGACCCGAACAAGGACAACAGCACGGACGTGCCAATGCGGAAGGGGAAAATCTCACAAGGCCCCAAGTTTTGATGGAGAGCTGCAAGCAGTTTGCTGACTGCTGAGAGAGGAATCGGCCTTTCCCAGGGATGAGTTCCCCACCCCAGTTCCTTATCCACTCACTATCAAATGGTCCTTCTTAAAAATGTACATTTGAGCAGCACTAAGTGAACTCACTGATTGTATTTATGTATGCATGTGGTTATATGTATATATGTATTATGTGTGTATATAACAATAATAAAGGAAAAATAAATAAAATAGAAAAATTAAATCTCTCTGGTCACTGGTGTCTCCACCCTAAACTTTTAGATATTTCTTACTTGCCTCTTCCACTGCCCTCCCCTATCCCATCCTCCTCTTGCTGGTCCTCTTTCTCTCTCTAAATAGTGTTCTTTCTGCTCTCATGATGTGTGTGTGTGTGTGTGTGTGTGTGTGTATTCCATTTTCCACTCCTTCCCTCTCTCCCACCCTTTACACCTGTTCCTCCACTTTCATAGCCCCGCATTATACTTTTGTGTCATATACACACGTATGTATGTGTGTACATATGTGTGTATATGTATGTATATTTAAATCGAGTTTCCACATAGGAGAGAAAATGGGGTATTTGTTTTTCTGTGTCTGACTTATTTTGCTTAACATTTATTATCTCCAGTCTGATCCATTTTCCTGAAAATGTCATAATTTCACTTTTCTTCACAGCTGAGTGAAATTCCATTTTGTGTATATGTGTGTACCACATTTTCATTGTCTGCTCATTGGTTGGTGAACAGCTAGCCTAATTCCATTTTCTCAGCTCCTGTGAATAGCGCAGTGGTAGACGTGGCCAGGCTACTGTCTCTGTTGCATCCTGACTTGGGTGTGTAAGTATCTCTGTTCGCTGCCTTTGATCCCTTTAGAGTATACAGCCTTCTGTGGTATATCTGGGTCGTGTTGTAGTTGTAGGGTTCTGAGGAACATCCACACTGGTGTCTGTGGTGATTAGACTAATTTACATTCTTACAATCAATGCAGAAGGCTGCCTTTTCCCCACAGCCTTGCAGGCATTGGTTTTCTTTGTCATACTGGTGGGACAGCCAGAATTTACATTTTCCTGCATTTTTCTCTGGAAGCTTTGAATGTTGTCCCTTTTGAGTTTTCGACATGTTGACCATAGTAAGTCATGGACAGGCTCTTCTCTGGCTGTGCCCGTGTTGGGTACCTAACTCTTTCTGTACATTTCATTGAGCGCTGAGCGTACTTCAGTCTTTATCTCTGCTGCTTCTGTCTCTTGGGTTCTTAGACTTCTTCTGTTGATCATATTTTGATGTTTTTAGATGACGTAGTCATGCGTATTCATAGATTGATTTTTATTTTACAGTTTTTGAGAGTTAACCTAGGGCCCCATACGTACATACTAGGCAAGCAATTTACTACTGAGCTACATCCTCCTCATTTCTTTGTTTGGGGGTTTTTGTTTGGTTTGCCACCAAGTCACACTCTGTAGTCTAAACTGGCCTGTAACTGTAATAATCCTACCACAGCCTCCAGAGTGCTGGGATTACAGGTATGAGCAACCTCCTACCTGACATTTTTTCTACTTCTATCTCTGGAAGACTTTCTTGATCAGTGTTGCTTTCCCCTGTAGATTATTTGATTCACTGATTTTTTTTTTCATTTCCAACATTTCCATTCACTTTTCATTTTTCAAATTTCAGTTTCCTTGCTGAATTTCTGCTTCATGTTGCTGGCTTTTTTTGTCCATATTACTGACTTTCTCATTCATTCAGTAGGTTTTCTTGTCGGTGTTGATGGCTTCCCTCCTTGAGAGACTTGTCCACAGCCCTGGTGGGATTCCGGGAGTGCACCATGAAGCCCTCAGCGACGCCTTCTTTGAACACACTCCTGGGTTAAATGACATTCACACTGCAATAACATTAGCCACAAACCCATATCCATAAACCATAAGCCTATAAATTCAGGACAAGTTTGAAAAAAATAGTACTTACAGAGAAATGGAAATAAATGTAGCTGGGGTGCTTAGGTGGGCCCATAAGAAAAATTGCCAATATGAAAAGCAAAGAAGTTTGTATGGAGGCAAATGAGCAGAATGTGCTTTATTCTATCCTCAGTTTGAGGCTGGGCCCCACAGAACAGTGGCAGAGAGGGAAAAAGAAAAAGGAAAAAAAATGCTCTATAGAGTTTTTTTTCAAACACACAGGGCGGGGGAAGAGGCCGCCGTAGTCGCTGCCTTGTGCAACACTGCCACCTAATGGCCAGAGAAACTGAAAATCGCTTACATCCTAATAAAACTGCCTCCGTGGCTTTTAGAGACAACGCCCAGGAGAAAAGCTGCAGCAGCCAAGCAGGATGAAAGTTCGGAGCCTAGAAAAGGGTGTCTAGCTCGGAAAGAAAGCGAGAATCGCGCCGCACTCCCACTATCCATTAATAATGCTTTGTAGTGATTTTTCCCACGGGCTTTTTAAATCTATAACGTGGCCAAAAAATATTCAACTCTTCCCTCAAAGCAAATAAAAGAGTTTGTTCTTAAGCAAAATGTAAGCAACTGTTTTATGGGGATGTGGTATTCAGGACATCCTGACTTCAACGTGGAAACACTTCATGAAGTTTCTATAGTTATGAAACAAAAGAAAACCATAAAGCATTTTTGAAATAAGTAGGTGGATTGCAACCGCTGTGGTTTAAGTAAGTGAAACTTTCGGGAAGGTGGGGGTCCTGTGCTATTCAGATAAGTCTGGCGACTGTCCACTACTAGACTTCACAGAAAGGCGTGGTATCTGTGCTGCCCAGGGCGTGACCGCGGGTAGGGAGACCTTTCAGAGAAAGAGCACAAGACCCCTGAGAAGGAAAGGTGAGGTGGCAGCCTTCTCAGGCCCGTGGGCGCAGAGTTGGGCTGTTAGGGTCAGTGGACGTGGTGGGTGTGGGGGCTTCCAGGAACACAGTGATCATGAGCCTGCAGAAGATTGGGTGCACGGATCGAAAGTGGGGCGACGCGGGCGTTAGGTCAGCATGTCACCTGCCCTACCCCCTAGGCTACAAGTGAAACCTCAAAGAGAGGACAACGGCACAAGCAAAAGGCAAGAAAATGCCCAGGATCTCACTGTGGACCTATGCGCCGACCCACCGCCTGCCAATCCAAGGGCTTGCTAACTGTGTCGGTCCTTTGTGTCCCGGCTTCTGGCTGCTATTGTTATAACTCCGAGGGCGAGACTAAGGTAGGCAGCCCGGCCCGGGCTTGTTCCCCGGGCTCACTTAGTGCCTATAAGGCTGTGTTCTGTGGTCACGCTATCCTGTTTAGCTTTCTGAGTCCTAGCCTTTCTGGCGGTGACTGGAAGAACTGAAGAAAATGTCGACTTTCTTTGGGTGTCGGTAAATTTAGGTTTCTCTGACCAGTAGATGGCAGTGTTGCTACGAACTATTGCCGTGTTCTCGGTGCTCCCCCGCCCTTCCTGTTTGAAAAAAATTGGAAATTGGTTGGAATTTTTTTTTTTTTTCCTCTTTCCTCCTCCCTGCCTGGGTAAGGCCTGCTAGACTTAGACAAGGGGGTTTTCTCTTTGTGAACTGTTTCCCGCCTAAAATCCAAAGCCTGTGCTTTTGAATGTTTTTTTCCACTAGTTGGGTGGTCTAGGCACCCCACCTCCTCGGGTTTAGGCTTCTCTGAAAGGCCTTTGCCAATCTTTCCATAGCTTGGCCTTTGTTCTAGGGTCAGTTATTAATAAATAATTTCAATTTAGGCTTCACTTAATCTCTTCACGTTTCTACAGAAGCATATTGATGAAAATTCTTACAGTCCCATTACTGCATGGTTGTCATTAATTATATCTTTTTTTTTTTTTTTTTTTTTTTTTTTTTGTGTTTTATTTTTATTTTTATTTTTTTTTAATTTATTTTGCAATACAATTCAGTTCTACATATCGGTCACGGATTCCCTTGTTCTCCCCCCTCCCGTCCCCCTCACCTTCCCCACAACGCCCCCCCCCCCCATTCCCATCTCCTCCAGGGCAAAGCCTTCCCCACAGACTGAGGTCAACCTGGTAGACTCAGTCCAGGTAGGTCTAGTCCCCTCCTCCCAGGCCGAGCCAAACAATCCTGCATAGGCCCCAGGTTTCAAACAGCCAACTCATGCAATGAGCACAAGATCTGGTCCCACTGCCTGGATGCCTCCCAAACAGATCAAGCCAATCAACTGTCTCTCCCATTCGGAGGGCCTGATCCAGTGTGGACCCCTCAGCCATTGGTTCATAGTTCATGTGTTTCCATTCATTTGGCTATTTTAATTATATCTTATTATAATTGTTTCCCTCTTTTTTTCACTTATACAAGTATATTGAAAATACATGGACGTCAGTATTTGCCCGATTGCTTTATCATATTTTTGAAATCATTACACTGAATCCCATTGATCTGTGTAATTGCTATGTGTAACTTTGAATTTTTCACACATATTTTATGTGTTTCCTTGTCTTAGTAATCATTTTGAAAGAGTGGACATTTTTTTCTTCTAATACGACAAAATTGTTTAATAACTGATATGAAAAACAGAGAGAAACCTTAACTCCCTATCTCAATGACAGGTATCTTAAAGTGTTGCTTTGCTTTCTCGCTCATCTTTAAAAAAAATTTTTTCTACCACACCAACAGAACAGTGCCTAACAATTCTCTCTCCCAATTTCTGTCTCTCTCTCCTTAAGAAGCATTGGTGCGCCAGAGATGGCCCATTTGATAAGATTCTTTGTGGGAGCATGAGGACCTGAGCCCAGATTTCCAGCACATACTCATGTAAAAGACCGGCATTGTAGCATGTGGATAAACTGAGGCCATGGCTTTCCACCAAGGTCTGGTTGAAGGGAAGGCTTTCGGCGTGTATATGACGAAGAATGGACAGGGCAGAATGGACAGGGCCATGAGGGGTTGGGGGAGCAGAGAGGAGGAGACAAAGAGGAGACAAAAAAGACCAAGAGAGAGGGGACCAAGAGAATGGTGGCTAAAATGGCGGGTTATATAGGAATGAGAAGTGGGGGAAGGGAAGCCCTTGAGCTGGAGAAGTTTAGGTAGGAGTCAAGATGAGAAATGCTGACAAGAGCCATGGTCCTGAGTGATACTGAGAGTCTGGGGACTAGCAGGCTCTTTGGTATGCTACTGGACACCACAGATAGCCATTTCTGAGTTTCTTTTGGACCTGACAGCATGGATCTGAAGCCCTAGCCCTGGGTGAGTGGAGACAAAACACCACTGGGTTTTTCTGGCCAGTGACTTCTAGATTCAGTTAGAGACCCTGGGGACTAGCCAATCGAAGTAGCCAGTGGTGTGTGCAGGATCCGGCGGACAGGCAAATGGACAGTGGGCTGTCGTGGATGGAGCAGACTCCCCCCCCCCCCCACCGCCCTTACCCTCCGTATAGCCCGAGGAGGGCCTGCTGTGCACAGCA